AACTGTTTTCATATTTCCTGGTATACACGCGCTATTGGTTCCATGGAAGCGCAGTATTTTAGGTTGTTTAATACCATTAATCACCGGTAATCCTATGTAGATTGCTGAAATTAATCAGAGCAAAATTAAAATGGTAAGTATTACTGGATAGGATATACGTTTATCTGAGAAAGGATAGATTAAGTACAAATATCTATCTAGAGTTACGAAAAATAAAATAAATGTTGACATTAAACTTGATAGCGCAATTAGAAAAGAAGCTGTTAAACATGCCCAACTACGCTGCCAAAGTTCGAGATTTTCAGGATAACGACCGGCATAACAAATATTAGCCGACGCAGTAATAATTAAGTAACATCCCATCAATAGATCAGCAATAGATAAATTAATTTAAAAAGTTTTCACAGTGCGTAGATCTTTAGAAATATCGATTGAGTGCCGTATAATTGAAATAGCATTTCCGACGATTGATATTGTCCCAATAGCCCAAATAAATATACGTAATGCATCATACGATAATATGCTTGAACATGTTGATAAACTGAGTTGGTCAGGGAGTGGACTGTACCGCTTAGCCACTGGAAGTGCGATGCAACATAAATAATCATGAGTAGAATACCTACGTAAAATGCGCAAAGTGTTTTGAATTACTGCAAAATTGGTTTATGAAATATTTTAGTAAATGTTTGATTTTAAATATCCTACAATTATGACATTAACAGCTAGGCGTAAAATATACATATACGTGACTTTTTAAAATATTAGATAACTTATCACGTACACGAATCTTAAATGAATTAGTCCATGCATGGCTTTTGCATTGAAATTCAGCAGCGGATTATTTTCCAAATGCCTACACAGGAAATTAATAATCTTTTCTAAATGCTACCACAGTTTTAACGAACTTCGATAATATATCTTAACTTAAATTCAACTAAATCCTTATATAATTAATTTTTTGAATCAAATTAATGTGAATCAATTCAATGGCCTAAGGCAACTGCAAAATTTGTAAGCTTACTTTATTTACTTGATAATTAAAAATTTGGTGTGAATTAGAGCACTTTGTAATAGTCTTTGCAAGCACCAAAGTCATGCGATTATTTGAAGATTTATGCAAAAATCTGTAACAGTTCCTATTTATGAGCAATTTGGAGTGTGACTGTAGCTATATCGTAAAGTTATTTATTAAGTTAATTATCAAGTAAATAAAGTAAGCTTACAAATTTTGCAATTGCCTTAGGCCATTGAATTGATTCACATTAATTTGATTCAAAAAATTTTCAGATAATAACCTAACTATATGATAGCAGATTTATTTGAGGCACCACGGCTTAGACTTAACTTAAAGGCAATTTATTATTTTAAACGAAGTTCTGGTGTTACGATAGTTATATAGATTAACTTACAATGTCTGCAACTGCTGCATTGAAGCAAAGGCACTGTTTCCCAAGCTAATAATTTTATTATGTTCTAGTTGTCTTTATTGAATATTACAAATATTAAGCGATATGCGCTTTTGCACGGATATTGAATAAGGTTTATTCTTGTACAAAATATTAAAGAACTAGACAAGATTCACAAATTTTTGCAATTATGTAGCTATCATTAGACAACGCTTAAACTTACAAATTTGCTAAGGAAGGCAATAAAGGAAAACTACTATGTTTGATAGCTGAGATATTACCATTATTCATAAGCCTGTAATGTAGGCCGTAATTGATGATTCAGCAAAAGTGTGATAAAAACCGCATTTTGTAATCAACTTCCTTTAAATAAAGATGCTCCAAAAAAATACTGAAAGCAAGCATCATAGCAGCATTCTACAATGTGATAGAAAGTACGTGTAAGAAATAACAAAACTCCTCTTAAATGCCAGTAATTTACTCCTCAAATTTTCAGAATCACCTGCCGCATGGGCCGCATGTAATATTTGTGAATGGAATGTATTCTTGCAGAACAGCACTGGCAACAAAGTTCTAAGGTTCTATGCCTCTAGCAGATTCTAGAGTTACACCAAGTTCACTTTATACCTGAATCCTATCTGAAAAAGGCATCTGATTATTTTTCCATCCATAGCATGTCCGGGAAGTTGGCGAGGATCTAAGCGTATATATCCAGATATGCTACTGTTAAAATTACTAGCAGACTACCCGTTCAAATGAATGGGAATTAAATTCAAAGCAAGCGCATAACTTATAGATAAACATCAGTTCAATACTCTCGGATCTTATCCAATTTCAATGAAATGAGCGGTGTCGTCGCAAAGGTAAGGAAAATCTGACTAGTGAGGAATAAATTATCCAGTTTCTCACGGTTACCCGTTTGGGAATGAAATTCGTAATTTTAGTCCATTTTTCTCTGTCTCAACAATACCTTTCAGTTTAATTAACGATAATTAGTTAATAAAAGTTATTTTTCTATATTAAATCGATGTAAAAGGTTCTCTTTTATTTAGGCATATGCTGTACATTACTGACTCTCTCATTGGCAAGGAACCAATGAATTGAGAAGATATTATAGCTAATATATACTAGACCAGAGAGTATTCTCTACTTTCCGCCTCTTGCCAATCCCCCCCCCCCCCAAGGAAAAAGATACTCGTCCATTTTTTGCCCTTTAATTCATTAACTAAAGGCAAAGCACTAACGAGCAAGGCTATTCTGGACTCCTAGATGCACTAGAAGATTGCCTAACCTAAAAATAGTCCATGACGTGATCCTGTATACTGTGCACTGTACACTCAGTGTACAGTAGACCGATATTACGACGTGACTTGTAAAATGGTTGAAGCGACCGAACATGTAACAGCGACTAATAGTTTATATACGAAACTTTAAGGCAACACTATAACTAAATATCAACCATTTGAGAGGGCCTCGCCACGCCCCTGTACTGTAATTGTGATCTC